TAGCATATATAGTTACATAGTTAGTCTGGCTGAAAAAAGACAAAAGTCCATCCAGTTCAATCATTAAAAAAAAAAAGGTATAATCCTACACCTACAGTTGATCCAGAGGAAAGCAAAAAAAAAAAAACCCAGCAAAGCATGATCCAATTTGCTCCTGCAGAGGAAAAAATCCCTTCCTGATCCCCAGAGAGGCAATCAGATATTCCCTGGATCATCTTTACCTATAAATGTTAGTATCCAGTTATATTCTGTGCAGGAATGCAGGCCTTTTTTAAAGCAATCCACTGAGCTGGCCAGAACCAACTCTTGAGGGAGTCTATTCCACATTTTCACATTCTTACTGTAAAGAAACCTTTCCATATTTGGAGATTAAATTTCTTTTCCTACAGACATAAAGAGTGCCTCCTTGTCCTCTGTGATGACCTCAGGGTGAATAACTCTACATCGAGTTCACTATATGAACCACTAATGTATTTATACATGGTGATCAAATCCTCCCTTAATCTCCTCTTCTCAAGAGAGAATAAATTCAGTTCCTCTAATCTTTCCTCATAGCTGAGCTCCTCCATGCCTCTTATCAGTTTGGTTGCCCTTCTCTGTACTTTCTCCAGTTTTTTCCCCAATGTTCTTTTTTGAATTGGTGTCAAAAACTGAACTGCTTATTCCAGATGAGGTATTACTAATGATTTCTACAGGGGTAAAATGATATCTCTCTCTCTGGAGTCTCTACCTATTTTAATACAAGAGACGGTTTTGCAATGCAGCTTGGCATTGCATGCCATTATAAATCTTGTGATCCACCAGAACTCCTAGATCCTTCTCCACCATTGATTCCCCCAATTGTACCCCCCCCCCCAGTATGTATGATGCATGCATATTCTTAGCCCCCAAGTGCATAACCTTACATTTGTCAACATTAAACCTAATTTGCCACATAGTTGCCCAATTAAACAGTGCATTGAGGTTGGCTTGTAAGTTGGAGACATCCTGTAAGGACGTTATTCCACTGCACAGCTTGGTGTCATCTGCAAAGACTGAAATAGTATTTATAATCCCAGACCCTATATCATTTATAATTATATTAAAAATTAAGGGTCCCAACACTGAACTTTGGGGTACACAACTGACAACCCTAGACCATTCAGAGTATGAATCATTAACCACTACTCTCTGAATACGATCTTTTAGCCAGTTTTCTATCCAATTACATACAGATTTTTACAAGCCCATAGACTTTACCTTACACATTAGCCGTGTGTGGGGAACTGTGTCAAACGCTTTTGCAAAATCCAAGTATACCACGTCCACCATCAACCCTCTGTCCAAAATTTTGCTCACCTCCTCATAAAAAGAAATCAGATTTGTTTGACAACTTCTGTCTGAATCCATGCTGTCTGTTGCTTAAAATATTTTTTTCCAGCAAGAACTCATCGATGCGGTCTTTTATTAAACTCTCCAGTATCTTCCCATCTATAGAAGTTAAACTAACAGGTCTATAATTACTTGGTAAATATATTTAAATATTGGCACCATATTGGCCTTATGTCAATCCAGTGGTACTATGCCAGTCATTAAAGAGTCCATAAAAATTAGAAACAATTGCTTTGAAATGACAGAGCTCAATTCTTTAAGGACCTGTAGGTGTATGCCATTCGGTCCAGGTGCTTTATTCACCTTTATTCTGTCTAAATATTTTGGATCATATCTTGACGTGGGTACTGCGGCTTCCACATGTATATGCAATGAAACCTTCTGTTTTGATGTGAATGTTTAGACAGGGTCAATTTGGTTTGTCTTCAGGCTAGCTGGTAAGAGTACTGGGAAATTTTTGTTTGTGATGTGTATTGCATTTCCATGTGCACCTTACTGTAAAGGCTATTTATGAATTAGAGTGGTTGCCATCTTTTTGTATAGCTTGATGATAATTATAAGGCAGAACTACATAGGCTTGGATCAATGGGTGTCCTGAGTGCACAGGAATAGATCTGGTTAATAAGAAAAGCAGTTACAGGCATTTTATGGTGCTTCACGTTTAACTGTAACACACCTGTGCTGCTTACAAGGTAGTTGTGGAAAGAAAGCCAACACACAATGGTTGATGAAACAGTAAATCCCATTTAATGACATAGCAGTTTACATATTTTTTCAGACCAATGAAAGTGTTATTTTTTTTGCACAAAAGTACAGAAATGAAAATATGATTATTATGATCCTGATGTGTAAGTTACCTGTTAGTTAAATGCCTGTATTATTAGCACAGGAGCAAAGGTTAAATAAAAAAGTATAAAATTACAGTGAATAGAAAACATTATTTATGTGTTGTTTTGTGGGTCATCACATTAAAGTCTTTATGTGTTAAATACAGTCTGTACCAGAGATCGTTTTAATTAAAATTTTAATAAAACACAAATCTTGTTTATTTTATGCTTTTTCTATTAAAGTTGGTCTGTATTTAAAGGTTTGTTTTAGAGCTTTGTTTGTTCTAACAAAAAAGATCATACTGTTAAGAGACCACAAAAACTGAACAAGTAAGGAAATTATAATTGAGTAGGAACCAAGAATGACTGCAGACCAGCTGCCACAACTGCTGTCACTTCGGCAGGATGAATTCAGTCCATTATATCAGCATTATCAGCACAACTGTCCCAGGATGATATGTAACTGTGTGGGGACAGTGCAGCACAGAAATGGCTTCAAAAGTGCTCTATTCATTCTATTCTAAATGACTTACAATTATGCTTATATTCATTCTTCTGAGCTTATTTTAAGTGTGAAATTCTGTTCAGAGCATTGATTGGGGTATTCAGTTCCACATTTTCAAAGCGTACTCATTGCTTAATACATAAAATTGTTGTTAAGCATCCAGCTGAATGGAGGCTTGAAGGTATGTGTTTAAGCCCTTTCAATTTTCTTTTGATGAATAATGCATACAATTAAAAGAGCTGAAGCCTGGCTAAGCCCTGAACCTCAAAACAAATGTGTCAAAGTTGTTAAAACATTATTCTGTATATGAAGTAGGAAATATACTCTTATCTTGAAAAATTAATTAAAAGAGAAGATCACATCCCTTATTAGCTCTGAAAAATCCCTCTTGTAATGTTCCACACCCCTATCATTCTGTCAAGTGATGCTTATGTATTAATATATTATGTACATACATTTAGAGCTATACTCTGTATACAGTAAGTAATATGTATATGGCCAGTATTCACTGAACATGTGTTTGTGATTGCATTACAAAAAAAATGGAAAAATCATATGATGGGTTAAAAAAAATAAATCATACAACATTTTTATTAGGACTTCAGCTAACAATTACTTTAATAATCGATTAGTTGGCTGATTAATTGGATAAAAGCCTAAAAAAAAGTGTGGTGGTAAATATAAATAACCAGCTATATGGTTAGGGAACAAAATATCTAATCCACTCTGAGAATAACAGACAGAAGATATAAATACAGTGAGGAACAGAAGTATTTGAACACCCTGCGATTTTGCAAGTTCTCCCACTTAGAAATCATGGAGGGGTCTAAAATTCACATTGTAGGTACATTCCCACTCTGAGAGACAGAATTAAAAAAAAAAATCAGGAAATCACACATTGTATGATTTTTAAAGAATTTATTTGTTTTGCACTGCTGAACATAAGTATTTGAACACCTGAGAAAATCAGTGTTAATATTTGGTACAGAAGCCTTTGTTGGCAATTACAGAGGTCAAACGTTTCCTGTAGTTCTTGACCAGGTTTGCACACACTGCAACAGGGATTTTGGCCCACTCCTCCACAATGATCTTCTCTAGATCTGTCAGGTTTCGGGGCTGTCGCTGAGCAACACTGAGTTTCAGCTCCCTCCAAAGATGTTCTATTGGATTTAGGTCTGGAGACTGGCTAGGCCACGCCAGAACCTTGATATGCTTCTTACGGAGCCACTCCTTGGTTATCCTGGCTGTGTGCTTTGGTCGTTGTCATGTTGGAAGACCCAGCCATGACCCATCTTCAATGCTCTGACTGAGGGAAGGAGGTTGTTGCTCAAAATCTCACAATAAATGGCCCCATTCATCCTCTCCTTAATACAGTGCAGTCATCCTGTCCCCTTTGCAGAAAAGCACCCCCAAAGCATGATGTTACCACCCCCATGCTTCACAGTAGGGATGGTGTTCTTGGGATGCAACTCATCCTTCTTTTTCCTCCAAACACGACGAGTGAAGTTTAGACCAAGTTCTACTTTGGTCTCATCTGACCAGATGACTTTCTCCCATGCCTCCTCTGGATCATCCAGATGGTCATTGGCAAACTTCAGACGGGCCTGGACATGTGATGACTTGAGCAGGGGAACCTTCTATGCAATGCATGATTTGAAACCATGAGGGCGTAGTGTTCTACCACAGTAACCTTTGAAACTGTGGTCCCAGCTCTCTTCATGTCATTGACCAGCTCCTCCCTCTAGGCTGATTCCTCACCTTTCTTATCATCAGTGATACCCCACGAGGTGAGATCTTGCATGGAGCCCCAGTCTGAGGGAGACTGACAGTCGTCTTTAGCCTCTTCCATTTTCTAACAATTGCTCCAACAGTTGATCTATTTTCACCAAGCTGCTTGGCAATTGCCCCGTAGCCCTTTCCAGCCTTGTGGAGATCCACAATTTTGTCTCTGGTGTCTTTTGACAGCTCTTTGGTCTTGCCCATGGTAGTAGTTGGCGTCTGACTGACTGTGGGGTGGACAGGTGTCTTTAAAGAGCTCAGACAGGTGCTACTTAGTTAGATTAATGAGTGGAGTAGAGGTGGACTTTTTAAAGGCACAGTAACAGGTCTTTGAGAGCCAAAATTCTTGCTGTTTCTTAGGTGTTCAAATACTTATGTTCAGCAGTGCAAACAAATAAATTCTTTAAAAATCATACAATGTGATTTTTAAAAAAATATATTTTTTTTTTTTTCATACTGTCACCAGTCAGTGTCCCTGATCACTGCCATGCCAGTTATATGATGATGCTGTACTGCACTGGTGACAGTATGTAAAAAAAAATAGTGAAAATAATTTTTTACATTTTTTCATTTTCCCAAAATTATGACAAAAAAAATACAACTTCAAAAAACTCGCCATGCCTCTTATGAAGTACATCGGACTGTCTACTCTGCAAAAAGGGGTCATTTGGAGGATATCTGTACTATTCTGACATTCTTGGACCTCAAGAAATTAGATTGGCTGTCAGTACTTCAGGATTGATCAATATTCAGATACTGTATATCGTTTAATAGTTTGTGAACTCTATAACTTTCCTACAAACTAAAAAATACATCCTAATTTGGGTTATTTTCACCAAACACATGTAGCAGAATACATCTTGGCCTAAATTTATGAAGAAAAATTATTTATTTGCAAACTTTTATAACAGAAACAAAGACAAACGTGTTTTTTTTTTTTTCTAAATTTTTGGTCTTTTTTTTTTGTTAATTTAGCCAAAAATAAAAACCCCAGCAGTGATTAAATACCACCAAAAGAAAGCTCTAGTTGTGTGAAGAAAATGATAAAATTCTAATTTGGGTACAGTGTTGTACGACTGCGCAATTGTCATTCAAAATGTGAGAGCGCTGAAACCTAAAAAATGGCCTGGGCAGGAAGAGGGTAAAAGTGCCCTGTATGGAAGAGGTTAAAGTAGTACTAAAGACTGAGACTTTTTTTTTGCATGAATATATTGATTTTAAAGATAATGCACAATACTGGTAAACTTTACTTTAAATTTAAATGTAATGCCTTATACTACCTCCAGTCTATCAGCCTCAAGCTTCTATGAGTTCAGATGCTGATCTTTCCTGTAGAGAGCCCAAAAGGGGAAGTTCCGCTTTAAGCCTTTGTCCCCCGCCCCATTATGGATTGGATTGGCACCTTTGGGGAGCAGGGGGGGAGGGGGTACCCGAATTTGACAGGTACCCGCTCCCACTTCCACTGCGATCGGAAGTGGAAGTTGTCCTCTCCCCTCCCTACCCGTAGTCTTCTGGGACACATGAAAGGGCCATTCACAAAGCTCAACGCTTCTCGCACATGTGCAGTGGGCACCTGGCTTTGAAGCCGCGAGTTGTTACAGCTGGGTGCCCACAATGAAGATGCCGGTGCCATGGAGAGAAGACGGCTGGTGAAACCAGCGGTGGTGAGGACACCACTGGACCGAGGGACAAGTGAGTGGCTGTATTTTAAAAGTCAGCAGCTACAGTTTTTGTAGCTGCTGACTTTTTTTTTTTCAGGTGGAACTTTAAAGTGATTGTTGTATTTTTTTTTTTTTTATAAATACCAAACTTGTCATACTTACCAAAATCATTGCACAGAGCAGCCTGGGTGCTCTTCTGCCTTCAGAGTGCTTCTGTAGCAAGCCACAAAGTACAGCATAGAGTGCCCCTACAACAAGACTTCTGTCTTTAGAATCACTTTAAATCACTTCCTTCTCCTGCCAGGACTACATGTCTCATGAGGCATTGCTCCTCACACAGTCACATTTACAAGTTCTCAGGCACTTACTGACATGCATGAATGGTGTACTGAGCTGTGTGTGTGCTGCACTGTGTATGCTGACATGTATGGATGGTGTACTGAGCTGTATGTGTGCTGCACTGTGTATGCTGACATGTATGGATGGTGTACTGAGCTGTATGTGTGCTGCACTGTGTATACTGACATGTATGGAAGGTGTACTGAGCTGTATGTGGGCTGCTTTGTGTATGATGACATGTATGGAAGGTGTACTGAGCTGTTATGTGGGCTGCACTGAGTATGCTGACATGTATAGATGGTGTACTGAGCTGTACTGTATTTTCTGATATGTAAACAATTAATAGATTCTGTATGCAGGCCAACTAATTGATAATGAAAATAATTGACAACTATTTTTATAATCGACTATAATTGATTATGTTGATTAATTAGGGGCCCTAATTTTTATATACCCTTAAGTGCCACAGTATATCTGGCATTTGCCAAAAGAAGTTAGCTGACCTGAAGATCATATTAGGTTGTTTTGTTTTTTTTTTTATGTTAAACCCTGGATATCAGCTTCAAAAATATCATATCTGACACATATTGCAAATCCTGGGCAGTAAATGTTTTTTTGCAGTTGTGTGTGCATACATTTTTTTTTATTAAATTATTGTGTCAGCTGAGATAAGTTTAAATCCTGCTCCTTGTATGTAGGGAAATGGTCTGTCTAATATTGGTTGAAACCTAGTGAAAATGACAGTACAAAAGCAAATTATGGTATATTGAAGCAAACTTCAGTAAGCAGCAGCAAAACACTGTGTCAGGAATGGTGAGTGTATGACATTATGAGATCAATAGTCTCCAGTATAGTAATTCACATTACCAGCATTCTCTCAGCACGCTGGATCCTGCAACACCCATTAATGTAGTCATTTATCTGGAATGTAGACTATAAAAGGCTAACACAGACTGTCAAAATATGCCTGAGAGGACAACACAGGAATCACTCTATGTTCTAATCTAGGCACCTTCTACGCACTCCTACTGTATAAGAGCAGAACTTGCTGCTCTAATTTCGTAGTTGCCCGTGGTGTTATGAATAGGAGAGGACTGGGCTAAAGACATTTGGGGTACTACTGGGGCTGGGGGTCCTGATTAGAGATTCACCACCATTCACAGATTGATCTCAATGGGACCTGCATTCAGTGACACACGATCTGCATTATATAGTTGCCTGTTCCCTGCTGAGACCTCCAAGCACAGCATCTGGGAGAAAGAAGTTCTCAGTACCTGGAAGCTGGTGCTATAAGATGTGAAAAGGTATGTTATAATAAAACATGTCATTTCAAACATTCACCTTTCACCATGCCCAATCAATTGCTGTGTCCCCATGTCACACTTTGTGTGGTACATTTCTTAGCCCACATAATTCTGTCCTTGCCATGAAAGGGCTAATTGGTTATGTTTGCCATCCAGGTCAAAGGTTCCCAGTCCTCCCCTGGAAGGAGAACAAGAAGTGGACAATGCCAGGACTTTGGAGGTTGCACACTACAAAAAACCATTGCATGTGTTCTTTATTTTCTCATTAGGGATGAGCTCAGTGCAGTCCGAATGTAAGTGGATGAACATGACAGCTTCCAGCTGTGAAGGGTTGCTTATGAAGCAGTGGGCACTTGCACCCACCATATTTTCACAAATCACTAACATAAAAAAGCCCATTTACTTACATGGATGGGAATCCTTGGCCAAAGAAAAAAGGGTGTCAGTCTGGATTTACATCATTGCCTAAATATAGCCACATGGCCATTGTCACGGTATAGGGGCCCTGCCAATTATTAATCCTCTTAATAATCCACCATATCACATGTCCCTCAGCATCTCGCTCTGTATGTCCCCTGTGTCACTCGGCCAAATGGCCTAATTCAATTACTGTGGCCCCCCTCCATCCCGGCCATCTTGCTGCCAGCTCGCTGCACACCTCCCAAATAGCCTTTCATAAATGCTGACACTGGCCCCTCTTATGTCCCCGGGGGTCCGGTGTCATCCTGCCCCTCAGAATGTCCCTGTCACCAGCCTGATTCATCCCTGGGGTCTAGTGTTCCCCCCTCCACCTCTCATCCTGCTGCCGTGGGATGAGAGGTGCAACTTCCACCACCCCTGTCCATGGCCGGAGAGAAGAAGGTGGCGAGGTTCACACCTCTCAGTGGAGGGTTGCGAACCTCCCGCAGGGATGACCCAGGCTCCGGCATCTAGCTGATGCCACCTCAGCCCTTACATCTGCAGCACGGGCACGCAAGGTTCCCGCGCTTGCGGATGTCCCTGGACAAAGGCCGAGAGGTGCGGCCCCTGTCCAGGGGCGTGCCTCATTGCCGGGCAACAGGGCCGTTAGCGCTGGCCCCTGTTGCCTAGACGACCAGGAAGCGCCCCGCATCAGTTTAAGAAGCTGATGCCGTGCGCTCCGCTCATCTTTCTGCTGTACAGCCACTCAAGGAGCCCAGCTGCAGCGGGACCTTTGTGACTAGACTCTGCAAGCCTCACGGGGACCCACACCCAAGCCGGCCAGAGACTGCCTGCCATTGCCAGAGACCCCACAGCATAGGGGAAGATTGCCAGAGACTGCCTGCCATTGCCAGAGACCCCACAGCATAGGGGGAGATTGCCAGAGGTTACCTGCCAGCACCAGAGACCCCCAATCCAGGGGAGGGATTGCCAGAGACCCCCAGCATAGGGGAGAGATTGCCAGAGATTACCTGCCAGCACCAGAGACCCCAATCCAGGGGAGGGATTGCCAGAGACCCCAGCATAGGGGAGAGATTGCCAAAGATCACCTGCCAGTGCCAGAGACCACCCACATGATCCAGGCTCCGCAGGTACCTGTGTTCTGCTTCTACCCCTGGGAGACCAGGCACCCGGTCGGATCCATGAGTACATGCTGTCCCCCTGTGTTACATGAACTGTTGCTGAACTGACCCCCCACCCACCCCCTTTTGTCGGATTACAATTGCTACAAAGACTCTCCCTTGGCTCTCCGTGTTGGACTATAAGTGGGTTGGCCCCTCTTCGCTACCCTTTACTGGCAGATTCACCCTCCCTACCAGTTCCTTTATTGAATGACTGTCATTGTTTGTCTCAATAAAGCTTTGTGTGTTTGCCATCTACTCTGTGTGGTCTGTCCTGCCTACCCTCCGTCACAGCCATATTTGGGAAATTAAATTTTAAAAATGTTTTTGATAATTCGGATTCAGATAACGAATGGATCCGAGTTTCATTCCATTTGTTTGTTTGCATGCACATGATGTCAGTCAATATTTTCCAATCAGTTATAGACAATTCTCTTGATGGGTTGGACTAGCGTCAGAAAATATTGAATCCTTCTGATTCAAATGTGTTGTTTGTTTTACAATATGAGAGTTTACAAACACTTTAATTAGACCAAAATACCAAGGTAAAGTACATAGCCTTTTGATGTGTAAAATGTAGCTTGTCTGGTCAATCATGTGTGTCAACTAAATAAATAAATAAATACATTTTATATATATATATATATATATATATATATATTGCCAAAAGTATTGGGACACCCCTCCAAATCATTGGATTCAGGTTTTTCAATCACCTCCATGACCACAGGTGTGTACAATCAAGCACCTAGGCATGCAGACTGCTTCTAAAACATTTGGGAAAGAATGGTCACTCTCAGGAGCTCAGTGAACTCAAGCGTGGTACTGTGATAGGTTGAAATTTTCTTGCTACTAAATATTCCACAGTCATCTGTTAGTGGTATTATAACAAAGTGGAAACAACTGGGAACAAACAACAACTCAGCCATGAAGTACATTGCAGCTTAATCAAGCTGCCTACATAC